CAGGGGCTCCGTTGAGGGCTGCTAAAATCAGCAGCAGCAGCCTCAGTGCAAGTGTCTCTACGCCGTCTTCCCCGTAGTGCTGGTCACTGCTGCTGGGGCCGACATACTTGCTGCTGCTGCTGCGGTTTACGTATACTGCTGTTGTTTCCGCAGCAAGGGGAAGCAGGCGGCCCATCAGTTTTGCGATCGTCGTGCCGCAAACAGCAGCAGCCATCGCTGCTGCTGTCCAAGTTGGAAAGAAGAAAGCAGCAATGGCTCGCTGCAGCACGACAACCACGCCGCCACCCAGTCCTGCTGCAGCTGCTGCTGCTCCTGCCAAGATCAAGCTGTTTTCGGCGAAAGCAGCTGCAACGCAAAGCTGAGCTATCCATGCTGCAGCAGTTGCAACGAACAGCGCCCTAGGCGCAGCCTTGGGAGATCGATATAACACAGCAGCGACAGGGGCAGCAGCGAGGCCTCCCGCGTCCAGACACCCTAGCACAGTGCCGTGGACCTCTTGGCTGTACTGCAGCGACCTCAGCTGCAGCAGCAGCAGCTCAGCAGCAGAGAGCGCATGACGGAAGAGGTGAGGCCCCACACCTGCTAGGCACAGCAGAAGCAGAGAAACCCAAGAAGATTTTGAGCACCTCTCTGTACCCTCGTCGTCTCTGCCCTGTGGCAAGCTTGAAGTAGCCCTCGTCCGTTGGCTGCTGCTGCTGTTGCTGCTGTGGCTGTGGCGTCGTCTCCCCAAGTCTCCGCTTCCCCTGCTGCCATAGTGCACAGGGCTATCACTGTTGCTGTTGCAGCTAAAGATGCTATTAGGCTCAACAGTTAAGCAGACATCCGATAGTGATGAGATGCTGCTGATATCGGAAGAAGCATCGCTCCCTATACAACCGCGGCAGCGACTTGGCTCCCCTTGCGTTGCTGCTGCTGTTGCTCCTGCCGTCGGTTTTGCTGATGCTGGAGTTGCTGGCGTTCCTTCTGTAGTTATTCTGTCGCCCAGCGCGACATAGCGGCAAGTGGATTCGTTCGGCATCGCCTCCGCTGTTCAGCAGTAGTAACACCATAGCTTGCTGGCGCTGATCTGTCTGTAGCTGTGGCGTTTACTGTAGCCACTGCTGCTGATGATGATTGGAACGTAGACCTAATTCAAGGTCACTCCAGCGGAGGCATCTTCCAGAGGGTCCAGAGAGGCTGTTCGTGACGTTGCGGTTTGCAGTTCGTTGCTTTGATTGACATGTCGCAGCTGCTTGCGTCAGTGTTGTCACAGGTACGGCTGATGCATCCGCCTGCGCTAAGTCAACTGCAGGGAAGTTCACGCTTGCTCAAGCTGCTGCGCCGCCGAATTTCTCATGCTGTTGCTGGTCGTGGGATTAGTACTGCTGCTGCTGCTGCTTCAGACAAAAAGCTACGAAGTGTGGCAGTTCCGATGAGATCTGAAGAATGCATGCTGCTAGTCAGCGACCAGTACCAGCTGCAGCAGTTGCACTAGCTTCAGCAGCCCTAGCGAACCTCAGGGGCTTGCCTTATCCCTTGCTAATTAAATCTCCTTCTACACATAGCTTTTCTGTTCAGCCGCATATCTCGATGAAATTCCACTGTAGAAAACGAAATCCGGGGTCGAAGTTTCAGTGGTGGAAGCCTGTTTAACATCAATCCAGCGGTCACAGGGCCTACGAACCGTTATGGCCCCACACACTGGCCCAGCAGCATATGATAGAGAACGACATGAGCCGATGAATAAAGTGAAATAAACAATGTGTTAACACGAAGCGCGAAGATCCGGACGTCAGCTAAGGGCTTAATCAATTAGCAGTTTCTATTCCATCATCGCCTTCTGGGAATTTATGTTGCAAGCCGGTCTCTTTAGCAGGGAGTGAAGTACTCGTGAGACTGTGCCAGAGCCCGCACGCTTCTGTAGTCCATGCCAACGAAGGAACATGGGAGAAGGCCCAACAGCAATCCAGTAGGTTTGCCAGGTACGTTTCATGGCTCGGGGCCATCTCCTGTGGGATCATGGGAACTCGCCATTGTCTCAAAGCAAGTCGAGCTCGCGGGTGTCTCAGCCACTACTGTGTTAATGAGACTGTCGTCGCTGAGTGGTGGGTAATAACTACAATCAAGTTTAAATGGACTGTTCTTATTCTCAATGGGGCACAGGAGAAGGTTTCCCAGTGGGGGACAGAAGCTTTGAATTTACAGTAGAGGAGGCCTACCACTCCACAAACTTGATGGTATCTTCGTGAAAGAAACATTGTAGAAGGGGGTGTAGTCCCTGCACAGGGAAACCGCCTCTCCCCTGAAGCACCAGACGCCGAGCCCGCAACCTGGCCCGCAAGCATATGAGCTGTGAAGCTTGCTGTGGCCTCCAACAGCGCTTTTTGCCGGGGTCAAAATGGCATGGGGCCAAGGAAACAGATTATTCAGGAATTCGGCGTTCCTAGCCCTATGTAACGTCTGCAGTTCAGGCTTTTGAGGCAATAACGAGTCAGCACGGTACCAAATCCATCATCAACAATTTAAGCATGCAGCCACGCATGATAATTGCTCATTCCACATAAGAAGTAAAACTACCATATGAAATTTGAGGGCAATTGGCCGTATAAAAGCAAACAGCAGGTAACCCATATGAGCTTGCGCTGCATCATTGCTGCCATATTCACTTTGTTATTGTAGTTCATATACTGAGCAAAGTATGACGCTCGCCCTTGGAAACAGCATGAGACTGCCAAAAACTTTTTCTGGAAACGGAAGACAGGGTCTGAAAGCGAAACAAGTCAATGAGTGCGTTTCTTCTGTGCAGTTGCATCACGCGAACCAAGATTAAGCGTGTATTAAAAACCTGGTTTGGTCTCCAAGAAGTAAAGTGGGCAGCAGTCTCTCATGGAGGCGTAGCATTTACCTGCCGTGATCCCCTGGCTGTTCAGATATCAGTCGAAATGGCAGAAAGCACGGTGTTTCCGTGCAAACGCATACATACGCCGTTCGACTTAATAATTGGTACGCCACTTAGAGTATTCAACTAGTGCTCTCTTGCTTTCAGATACATGAATCTGGCTGTGGCTCGCAAGTGCTAAGTCGTGTGTGGACGTGAGTGCACTCACTAACCTGCACGTTTGTTCATGTACACATGCTGCTCTTTACTCTAGGCGTGTTCTCGGCATCAAAATCGAATAGTTCGCATGTCTCTCCGTACATTTTGGAGAAAGCTGGTCAAAAGGGGGATTGCTACGAATCAGCCTTTGTCGAGACGCTTGCTCACAAATGTGGACTAAGCCCTATAAAATGCTTTACTTTCTGCGACCAATAAGCATGATGTCCATCGAGTAATTTTGCCTTAAAGTAATGTTTAAACATGCCTACACCAACAGTGACATGACATACGCTTTTACAAGGCACTACACAAAGTCACGGAGCGCGCTTTTGATGTGTATTAGCTGTTGGAATACAGTAACATGCTCGTTGCGCTTGTTGCCTGCCTTTTTGTATCGTCATGCTCTGCATCGTGACGAAAGTTTTAAACTAGTGCAAATATATAGAACTTATATCAGCCCAAAGTTAGTGTGACTGCGAGGTGCAGAGTGACCCTTCAAAGGGCATTGTGAAAAAGAATCCACATGACATGAACTCCTTTGGCTCTAGAGAGTATGTTTAAAAGAAAACACATCTACCATTACGTCACTTTATGACATTGCATTTGACTACCATTTTAGGAATGCCACTAGTTCGCACAACGTACTAAATTTCTTAATCCACAAGTACAGCAGCCATTCGAGGCAATTGCTGCACTGTTTTTGATTGTGGTGATTTCACATTCGCTAGTTTTCAACCATTGCACTTGCAACTACTAGCCCCCTTAGAGCATTCTAGTACGAAAATTGTTGAAACATGAAAGGAAAGGGGAGTGCAGCTGGCTCATATATTCAATATTCAATGCTTGCCGGCACAGAGTCATGAAACAGTCACATGCGCACTGCATGCAAACACGGATTGAGTTTACCCATGAAAATACCTTTGGCAACAGTGAAAACGTAGGCGGCGAACGCAAATTTGTGAAACACACGGCCAGAACTGCGAGGACATGAGCTAGGCTCTTCCCAGTCAGCTCATATTATCCTTCACGTGGACGGGCACTTGGAGTGCTTTAATACTTTTTGCGATAACCATTGATTCACAGAATAGTGGTCTTCCCATTTAATCCCCATATTTGTTACTAACTGTGTTTTCTGCCGCTCCAACGTCCTTTCACTGCTGCTGTCAGTGCATTCACCATGCGCTTTTTCGCCGCCAGGATTTTCCCCGATTGCTCCCTACTTTGCGGTACAATAATCTACGCAGCTTACCAAGTCATCGCACCTGTGTTACGCAAAAGCTGGCAGCTGACGGTGGCGCCTCAAGCAGCCTACGGCATCTTCGCCTTTCTCACCAGAATGATTTGACAGCAAGTAGACTTGGCCTATCGCCGACGGAAACACGCGAACACCCCTCGACCATTCCACTCATTATTGGTCCTCCGAAACTGGAGAGACGCCTGCAGGCTCTCAACGGGAACTGCCACTGCGAGGCCCTTGAAAGTCTGCTATCTCTGACGCTCCCACTACACAATGCGAAGACGCGCTACTGGCTCCGTCAACTTCAGATGCTGGCACTGAGACGGAAAAGGGTATCTGCTGCCGGGTTTCCTGCAGCCCTTCTCAACGGGGTCTCTCAAAACTACCAGCGCTGTCTGCGGGCCTGTCTTGGATCTGGCATCCCCACATCGAACCCCACGAAGGCAGTTCCGTCATCCGCACGCGCCTCGGGCGAGTCTGGCGGAGGCATCCCCTCCTCAAAGCCCCTAAACGTACCAGTGATCCCTTCATCGCGCGGAGGTGGAACAGGATGTAGAGACAACCCAACATTGAGAGCGCTCTCTCCACCTGGCAACCAGATGAAAGGATTGGAAATACTTGTAGGTAGAGGTCTGGGATAACTTTGCCCTTGGGTATTCCTTTCTACATCAGGCACACGAGTAGCAGATGCGCCACTTGACGAAGCGCCAGGTTCTATGGAGCTGTCGTAAAACTGTCCTGAAAGCAGCTGAGGTTGTAGTAGTGGCTGAGGTTGTAGTGGTGGCTCTGGAGGGGTTAGCATTTGAGGTTGTAGGAGTGGCTGAGGTTGTAGTGGTGGCTCTGGAGGGGTTAGCACTTCAGATTGTAGGAGTGGCTGAGGTTGTAGTAGTGGCTTTGGAGGGGCTAGCCCTTGAGATTGTAGGAGTGGCTGAGGTTGTAGTGGTGGCTCTGGAGGGGCTAGCACTTGAGATTGTAGGAGTGGCTGAGGTTGTAGTGGTGGCTCTGGAGGGGCTAGCACTTGAGATTGTAGGAGTGGCTGAGGTTGCAGTGGTGGCTCTGGAGGGGTTGGTGGCTGATCGAAAAGTTCGTGGGTCTCTTTTGAAGACTCGTCGAAATACGTAACGTTGGAGGCTCCCTCGTCCAACAGTGCTAATTCCTGATTCTGATATGGATACCATCCTTCAGCCTCCTGTGAAGTAACTTCGAACGATGTCGGGGTGTGTTCAGACACTTGTGGGTGCTTTTCAGCTGGCGTAACAAATATTTCAGGCACAGTTACACGTCCTACCGACCCCGGAATCGGGAAAATGGGCATTGGAAAATGAGAATCATGCTCTTGTGCGGTTGTTCCTGGAAATCCAATGTATTCTTGACCTGGCATTCCTAGATATCCTTCAGCCCACTCAAAGTCCTCGAAGTGCTCTACAGGCACTGGCGGTTCACCATCCACTGAATCCTCCGTTTCAGCCAATTGTAGCCCTTCTTCGAATGTCTGTGAGTGCTGTGGAGGAAAACTTCCAGGGCCCCCCTGCACTGCTGACGGTTCTTCAGATTGTGGCGCATATTGCGGGTCCATCGGTCCATGCCACCCATGCATTCCTAGGAAGTGTGTGGATGGAGTGGAGCTCACTGGTGGTATCCAAGGAATATAAATGACTCGGGCACCACGTGGATGCTCCGCAGAAGGCACTGCCATGCCAGTGGGCAAATAAGGAGCACTTTCTGGCGCTTGCCACTGCTCCTCAGACTCCGCCGTGGGCTCCCCAGACCACTGCATGTCTGAACGGTATGGGGTAGGTGCACCTAGTAAACGGTCCCTCTGACTAGGATGATCCTCAGCGGAGTATGGGATGGCCTCTCCTCCGGCTGCTCCTTCTAAGTAATCGAAAGACTCTGCTTGTTCCGGCTCTTCTGGGAATTGCAGCTGCCTAGGTGATATGGGGCGCGCTAAAGCGGATGCATTTGTCCCGGTCCAAATAGGAATGAAGCTTCCAATGGTATAAGCTAGCACTGCATATGAATGCACAACGTGTTTATCAAATCCACTTCTAAATGTTGGTCTTTCTGAGGATGCTGTGGTCTGCCCTTCAGAAGTTGGCGGAGCCCGACCAGTTGCAGCGGAGCTTGTGGACGGTTCTTCACCTTCAGAAGAATCCAAAGAAGCAGCATCACGCCGACGCTCAGGGTCGAGAAACAACGACAAATCTGGCTCCTTTTCGAGTCCCCCTTTGAGCGCAGCTGAAAGACGAGTAGCCTCACTGCTGGAAAGACCCAGTTGACCACCAGGTCGATTCCGTTCATGAACCACCGACGCCCCTCCACCACAAATGTGTACAAAGTTACCTCTCATGGAACTTTGCAACTCGTTCGAGAATTTGCAGAGACGCGTCCTAAGCTCTCTGCCATAACATCTAAGTCGAAGGAATCCGGTGATCATTTCGCGAAGCATTGTCCGACGTCTGGGACTTTCTTCAAGAGGCCCGAACGGCTTGAAAATGCCAAAGAAAGAGAGTTCGTTTTGAAGTTGCTTGATCCAGGAAGCAGTGCTTCCGTCTCGGCGGAGCTTTCGCTTGCGGGTGTGTCTAGAGTAGGAAAGAATTGTGAGAACCTCATTTGTGATATTTCTGGGGGCCCTTATACCGCTCTCTATCCAAGGTAACAGAGAGAGCAGGGCTCGGGTGCATGCGAGTATCATCATGGCGC